GACAGCTGGACTTTAAGACCTCTGATGTTGTGCACTGTGAGAAAAATAAAGGTGTGTTGTCCTGAGCCATTAAATCTGTGACACCTGCTTAGAGCACTGGACGCTAGTCCAGATATTATGCAAAATGCTCTTGGCAAATGTGATGAAGGCTGTGGACCCTGATATCAGCCAAATCTAATCATGTGAGCCGTAAAAGCACAGAAATGCACCCTGCTAAGGCGGGGAGAAGCAGCGGCAGAAGGTGGGGAAGAAATGAAACCAAAGGGCAGGTCCATGCGAGATAAACTCCAAGAATGACTCAACCCACTGGGTTTTGTTTTGTTTTGTTTAAAGATGGAGGACAGAGCCACAGTGCAGGTGGCATCAGCAAACTGAGAGTGGCCCCTGGGAGACAGACAGTAAGGAAGTGGGAACCCCAGCCCCACAACCACCAGGAGCACCATCACTGCACCTGGAACTGAATTCACACCTGGAGAGATAGAAAAGAAAGAAGATACTTGAGTCCTTTGTCCTCCTTAACCTTGACCTTGGAAACTCTTTAAACAGAAAACAATCTGTCAAGTCCTAGGCCATCAACCCTAAGAACCACAATGCAATAGGTTATTGTCCCTTTATGCCACTGTGTTGGCCACAGTGGGTTATGTGCGATAGCAAGCATGCACATCACAAGTTAGGAAACGAATTTGACTCAACCTCGCAAGTTTTGTTCAAGGTACACAATGAGGCCCTGCTGTCGTGTGGGTTGAGATTGGCTCAGCTCTGTGGGCAGCAATCTAAATTCCTTCGCCTTCCTCCATTAGGGCCTCCAGAATGTTGGCTGCCTCCCACTAGAGGTCACAGATGCCCACAGACACTTAACAAGTCACTTCTAGGCATTGGAAGGACTGTTCTGAGTATACCTCATTGTAGAGCAGGAAAATCCTTCCCCAAAGTCTGTCAGCAGGTACCCCGTCTGTCTTGTTCCCTGGACCCATTAGAGGAAGCTATGACTGCAGAGCACGTCCTCCCTGAAACACTGCAAGCATTAGTCCAACCAAGATCCACTAGATTGGAAACCCAGGGAGGAAGCATAGACGCGGAGCCTGAGAATGCTGAGGTGAGGGGTGGAGAGGGTGGTTAAGAGTACGCTCTGCTCTTGCAGAAGACTGGAGCACCCACGTCAGGCAGCTCACAACTTCCTGTAACTCCAGCGCCCAGGGATCTGACGCCTCTGGCATCCATGGGCACCTACACTTGTGTGCACAGAGATATACACATATGTACAGTTGAAAAAATAATCATGGGGTTGGGGAGATGCCTCTGTGGTTACGAGTAGTTGCTGCTCTTCCAGAGGATCTGAGTTCAGTTCCCAGCACCCGCATGGCCTATCCTGATTGTATTTTAACTCCAGTTCCAGTGAATCAAGCACTCTCTTCTGACCTCTGTGGGCCCCAGGGATACAAGTGGCACACATATATACATGCAGGCAAAACATACACATAAAATAAAAGTAAAAAAATAAAACTAAAATAATAATCTTTTTTAAAGATAATGGTGGTAGTGATGATGACTACTACAACAAACGACTAAGGGATTAGGAGCTTAGTTTAAGTCCAAAGTAGGAGCCTCCAACTCAGCAAAGAGTCTATGCTCTGAAAGACACTTGGAAAGGAATTAATTGTTGAAATCAGGAGAGCATAAACAGTCTCACTCCATATTACAAAGGGTCAAGTCATAGCCTGGCTGGAAGGCTGGAGCCGTGTGTAGGGGCAGGGTGTCCCTCCTCAGACTGCATTGCACCATCTCCACCTCAGAGGCTGGCACTGTGTGCCAGGCCTGGTCTGCCCCAGCAGTAAATGCACTGGCCTGGTCAGGGAGAAAATGCATGCAGGCTTTGGGAAGTCTTCTGGCTAGAAGGAGAAAGAGGGTACAGAGAGAGCAGAAGGTGAGGGAAAAAAAGGGATATGGAAAGGGATAGAAGAGAATGAAGAAATATGATTTGCAGTATTTGTGACCTCTTCAGTTGCTGTCTTTAAACCCTTCTTTAGCTTCTGCCGGCTGTCACATTTGCCCTTTCGCTGCGATGCACAGCATAGAGCCTTCCCCTTGTGACCCACCTACATCCTATGCGACCCAGGCAATTCGAAGTTGACCAAACTGGTCCCATTCTACTGTCAGTGGTTGACTCTGACCCAGTTCTAGCCACCAAGACAAGAGTCAGAGAGTAAGCTGAGGAGCCTAGCAGGGCTTAGCAAGGCCTATATTTCCAGTGTGTCCCGGGCCTTGACAGCACTCTCTCCACCTTTCCCTTTCACCCTTCACCCCTCTGCCTCTGTCCTGACCTCACTGCACTCTGTCTGTCTGTTTGTCTGAGTCAGGGTCTCTCTGTGTAGCCCTGGATGTTCCGGAACTCTCTCTGTAGACCAGGCTGGCCTGGAACTCACATATCTATCTGCCTCTGCTAGGATTACAGGTGTACACTGCCACACCTGGCCCCTTGCACTGAACTTTGTTAGTTGAATTTTTATTCATGTTTCTTCTTCTCTGCTTAAATGTCACTTCTTTAAGGTCTTGCTCATCCCCAAGGCTAGGTCAAGGTGAGTGAGTGTCTGTGTGTGTGTGTGTGTGTGTGTGTGTGTGTGTGCCTATCAGTACCCTTTTCTGAATTCATTGATTCACCCAACTGCACTAGCATTTTATGTTTTCAGCTTAGTGAGTACTGCTCCTAAGACAGACAACAGTCATCGCTGTCTTCTTGTTCATCCCTCTCAGAACTGCTCACTTCCCAGCTACTCCCAGGATGCACAGCTGTCCTCGGGCTGTCCCCAACATTGACGCTAAATGTGTTATGTTTCTTCTCATTTCTGTTTGTTTTTGTTTTTAATTTTTTTGAGCAAGGTATCATGTAGCCCAGGCTGGTGGCTAACTCACTATGTAGCCAAGGCTGGCCTTTGACTTCCAAGTCCTGGGATAATATGTATGTGTGCCACTGTTTCTGGGGGCAAAAGCAAACCTCCACCTTTGAAAATCAGGTGGCCTTCCCCCTTTGGGGCTCAGTTTACCTATGTTAGGTTCCAGTGAGATCCAAAAGGACCTCCAGCTACTTCTGTCTATAGACATCTCGGCTTTGTACCACGCCCTTCTGAGCGAGTCCCCGGGTCCACCTGGTACCTGCCCCAGGACTATTGGGCGGGGCTAGGGTTACTCCCTACAATTCCCCTTTTAGTCTAAGAGAGGATTAAAACTTAATAGTGTAAAATATCCAAAACTAACAATCATAAGGGTGGAATACAAGAATATACAATAATCTGCTATGATACATCCTATGTCTATTCTAGCTAAGTCTTAAAGTCATGTGGAAAAAGTGTCTAACTTGAACACCTTCTTCCAATCCCAACTCTAAACAATAAGAAGGTCATTCTTAACTAGGCTTACACTACCCTAGTACACAATAATGGGGAACGGGGGCGTAGCATCTTCTAGGTTACTTCCTGCTGAAACGGGACGAAGATGGTCATGTGGGGGCCCTGTGGAAAAAAAATGTCAGTACAGGGAAAGTCTCTAGTGAGTTATATCTAGTCCACCCCACGTTGGGCGCCAGATATTGGATTAAAGTCTCTTTATTCCAAGCACAGCCGGGTAAACACAGGCCAGAGCTAGGTTAAGAACCCAGCCAGCGCAGCCAGAACAAAGAGAGCGCCCGGTCCCCACGTACAGCCTTTTAAGAAGCCCCTCTTACGTCATGCCGGCTTTCCTTCACCCCGCCCTTATGGGCGAGTCCCCAGGTCCACCTGGTACCTGCCCCAGGACTATTGGGCGGGGCTAGGGTTACTCCCTACAGTACCACACTCAGCATGTCCCCCACTCTCTGACCTTAACTGCTCCCCTCTTTAAGCCTCTTTGCAGTCTGGTTTCTGAAACACAACTCACATTCCAGCCCATCGCACGTTCCAGACCCTGGGGGGTCACATATCTAGCTCTAGGCTCTGCTGAACCTCATCTGGGTTCCATGCACTGGTGGGCGCTGCTACCTCTGGGTTATAAACACTACCTGGCTCCTTCCTGGTGAGCCCCCTTAGAAAAGCAATGCTGCCTTGACTGAACTGCTGTGCATCTCTTGTCCCAGGTCAATAGAGACCCCTTATCTCAAAGTAGGGCCATCCATGTCCAGAGCTCCTGTGACTTCTCTCCAGCTGAGTCACACTTGCCTGGTTTCTGCCCTCTCCATACCACTGCTGTCTCTTTCAAACTCACAGCAGCAGCTTTCTATGTAGCTCTTGTGTCATTGCCTCCGGCTAGCTCTGAGAAATACATACTAAGGCATAACTTTCAACTGTGGTGATGAAGGGGGAAAACAGAACTGCCCTCCCTGGGAATCTCTTCACACTCCTGGCCTCATCCCCTTCTCTGCCCTTCACTGGCCTGTGAACAGTGAGTGACAAGGGCACCCGAATGGATTTTCACAGCCTCCTCTGAAGTTTCGCACAGGCGCCTGCTCTAGAATATGAGAGATCTTCATGTTCATTTGCCCGGAGCTAGTAATGAAATTGTGTCTTGGCTTCCTGGTACTAGACAATTCTCATATCAAATTCCAAGCACTGGACAGGAACCAGTGAGTGACAGCTATTATTTGGGGTTTTCAGCATAATATACGGGAAGTTTGCCTGCCTCGTGCCAGTTCTATGAGACATTTTTGTCATTCTCTCCTTATGGTGACTCTTCAGGGAGTCACAGTATTTAATGCCATTTTGTTAATCCTGGAGCCCAAAAAATATTCTGCATCTGGACCTGTTTCCAAAGCAAGTTTGCCTGCAATGTTTCATTGCGAATTTCCTCACATTGCCACCCCCGATGTCCCCTCCCCCCAAGCCACCTCCCATTCCCAGAGGGATGCTCCTACATAGCAGCTTACACTGTATATCCTCACTTGTTCCTTTCTCTCTCTCTCTCTCTCTCTCTCTCTCTCTCTCTCTCCCTCCCACCCTTCCTCCCTCCCTCCCTTTCTCTCCCCTGACACTCAGATCTGTGTGACCTCTGAGGAAGAACAGGACGGCTTCGTCAGAGTCCTCAGTGGGAAGAAGAGAGGCCTTGTCCCACTGGATGTGCTGGTCTCCGTGTGACTGTGAGGGTCCCTCCAAGTGCAGGAGGCAGCTCTACTGATCTCACTGTGTCCACCCAGACGAGCTGCTGCACTGATGAGTGCCCAGGAAACAGGGAGACCAGAAGATCTGAGACTGTGCTAGCAATCTGGAAGCAGACCCATGGCAAGCACACCCAGGCTGCGGGAGAGCAGCATCCCAGAGCTGAGGGCAGCTGGGGGAAGTAAGTGGGCTGTAGCCAAGGCTGCCCCAGGACTCAGCTCCCTCCCTGTGCCCACCTGTGCAAGGCTGGAGTATGTTCCAGGTCACCATGTGGTCCTGGTGAGACATTTGGATCTGAGTAGCCAAGTGTTACTCTGGTTCCAGATTGTTGTCCCCAGTGCTGGCCAGTCAACATCACAACTCCTGCAGAGAATCAAGAAGGCCCAACCTCCCAGTTCCCGACACCCCTGGCCTCACTCTAGCTCCTGCTCAGTTGTGATTCTGCTGGCAGGATTGTTCTCTTTCTCTTCAGTCACTGGAGCATGTCCTAGGGACTGAACTGACACGGTACCAAGTGCAAAGATCTAACTAACCTACAGATTGCTTACCAGGGAGTCCTTGCTATTTCAGTGACTCAGAGAGGTGACAGAGCAAAGTCAGAGGCACAGAATCAAGCAGCAGCAAGAAGTGGGAGCAGGGACAGGAAGGAGTCCTTGTGTCTTGGAATTGTACAGCCTTTTCAGATGGGGCTTTCTTTTCCAAAGCAAGTGGGGCTGGGAATGGGACGTAGCCCAGAGTCTCCATTTCCATTTCATACCCTCTGTATCAGGAGCATCACTTCTTCCCTAGGGCAGCCCGTAGGACTTGGTTGTGGAGGATGAGTCCACTGTGCAGGGAACCAGGGACCAGGGAGCGCCACTGAGAAAAAAAAAAAAAATCTTAGAATAAATGTAGCCAAGTTAGAATCCATTCTCCTCTAGGGCGGTATTAACAGCTCCAGCAGGTGTGAAGTGGAAACAAACCTGTGATGCTTCATCTCTGTGCAAACAGAAGGAGCTGGAGCTTAGCTCCCATCACCTAGGGAAACTGCTCTCTACCTGTACCAATGTTTACAAGAACATACCACACTGCGATGCCTTCCTCCCAAGCCCGGTCCCAGCATTCAGACCTGCTTCCTAGCAGTCACTGACATGTTTAAATGTGATTCACAGTGACTTTGAAATCAATGTTGCTTTGATTTATTTTGCCACTGAGCAATAAAATCATTAGAACCATTGGGATTGGACTTGGTTCTGCTTTGTTTTGTTCTGTGATTTGTTTCGTTCACTTGAGAAAAGAACTCTAGCCTAGGCTAGGGTCAAACTCACTGCATAGCTGGAGATGACCTTGAACTTTGATCCTGTTGCCCCCACTTCCAAAGTCTGGGATTACAGGAATGCACCACCACACCCCATGCACGCAGTGCTGGGGACTGAACATGGGGGTTTCATGCATGCTAAGCAGTCACTCTACCAACTGAACCACACCCCAGACCCCCAAATGCCAATGTTTTGCTTTGTTGTTTTTTTTTTTCTGTTTTGAAGACTTAGATGACTACATTCGGGACATGTCAGCCTCATTCCTTAGACAAAGAATCGTTTGTCTGTTAACGTTTTTTGTTCCTGCCCAAAGTAAAGTCAGGAGCTGAGCTATGGCAGCAGCTGGTCTCATAGTAACCCAGATGCCTGGCTCCCATTCTCTAGCCAGCATCCAGTTTCATCTTCATCCAACACGACTTGTTAAAGCAGGTTCACAGACTAAAAACCTTTGGGAGCATGGATCACATGACTGCCTTTTGTAAAACTGAACACCCAGGGCAGACAATCCCCACCTCCAATCAATTTTCCATTTAATCAAGACGACCTAGTGACTGGAAGGAATGTAAAACACGTGTGTCTTGTCCTCTCCTCATTGATCTCATGTCCACGGCAGGCTTCTGGTACAGGGTACCCAACTTGCATTTTAATATCAGCTTGCCTTTTCAAGTTGAAAGAAGGAAGATACAGCATCTGGCCTCCCAGGCGGTCCCACTATTGGGCCTTTGCCTCCTGATAGTTTTGACTTTATGTAGCTTTCCCCCACACTGGATCAGGGTTAGTCTTTAGTAGCCAGTGGAATATAGCAGAAGTGACAGTGGCTGGCACATGAGACAAGCTCATCAAACTCACAGCTTCTGCTTTGACCTACCAGAGAACACACTGTTGGGATGTTGGGACATCACATGAGAGGCATGCACCTGAGGCCAGCATGTAGGACAGGCCACCATGCAAGCAAAGACCATATACTTCAGCAGCTGAGATTGTGGGAGCAATGCCAGGGCAATAGGGAGTTGTCCCTGCTGACCACTGCTTGGGTCACAAATGTATGATCAATCTAAGTATAGAAAGTATTTATAAATGTAAGTTTTAAACTCATTTGCTATTCAGAAGCAGGTAAGTGGGACAGGAGGCTTTTGCCGCAACCCAAGAAGACATGTACTCATTTTGTACAATGAGACCCCAAAGCTTTGCTGACATTGGGTGTCAGCAGGCAGCTCAACCTCCAATGCCAGATGTGCAGCATTCTCCAAAGACCTAGAGTCATTCAAACAGAAGAGGAGAAGCACAATGTCGTACACATGCTCCGTGTAGACTGTTGCGATGACTGTTAGGCAAACACACAGAGAGGGGTAAGAGGGACCAGGAGGGTTAGGGGCCAGGGCCTTTCCTGCCCTCTTCTGCTTGCCTGCAGAAATGACAAGAACAAGGCAAATGGTGGTTTAGCCAAGTCTTGATGACTTCTAAGACTTGAGAAGTAGCTGGACTGGAGACAAATGCTGGCATGGGGACAGGACAGGAGAAGGAAGCATCAGTATGAAAGAGATGATATGAGTCTGGGGGACACTCTTCGTAGTGCCAGGGGCACACTGAGCCCTCACCATCTGTGCTGCCTTCAGGGGAGGAAGGTACAGGGCCATCTCAACACTAGGGCAGCTGTGCCCTGTACCTCACTGTGGAGCATGGCTCTGTGTTGGCAAGTGTGTGGGGAAGAACCGATTAGACATTCCTTAGAGTTCCAGAAGGCAGGGAACTGAATGTCTCTTCCCCCACCATCATCACTACCAGACATTGGTTCCACCTTTGATGTAGACAATGGAGCTGTGAAGAGAGACCAGGTATAGATGTCTGGTCTGCATGAAGATTGGCAGAGCTGATTCATTTATCATTTTCCATTCCAGCTATGTACCAATTACACACACATACACAGAGACACATAGATACACACATGGTAATGAAGAAGAATCCAACATCTGGGCTGCATGTTTAAAGCAACCAATTGGGTAAAACATGGTAGGAACTTAATGGAGCTGGTCTTCTTTGTTATTGAAGGGGAAAGCTTAAAGCCAAGGGGAAAGTCACACATAGCTAAAAGCAAAAATCTTGAGGCTTGAATCCAGTCTGGATGATGCACTTCTCCAGGAAGAAGAGGGCTAGAGAGTAAATAGATTCAGCAAACCTACAAGAGCCCAGCCCAGGCAGAGGCACCTGCACTGGCTGTGTGTTATAGTACACACTTACACTTTTTTTTAGCATTGCCACTATTCTCAGGACTTCTCGGGGCCTTTAAGCTGTTTGCTAACTCTCATTGTGGATACCCAAAAGGGAGTTAGAACTAGGGAATACTGCCAGCCTCCTCTAGAGTACAGTTTGAAAGAGTCTACAATGACAGTTCTCAAGTGACAAGAGACACCTAGCAACCTCGAGGTCCCTAACACGGGACTCTTCCTACAGGCCGCTGAGGTAAGCACACTTGAAAGGATGAAGGCAGACAATTGCCTTCTCTGGGCTGAGTCTGCAGGGGGTGGAGGGAAGGAGGATGTGGAGACCAATACACTCCAGGCCAGAAAGCTCTGATAGCTTAGATGAATGCCAGCAGCCAGGAGGAGGTTGGCACCAATGTGAGGAAATAAGAGAAAGTTCAGCCATGCTCCAAATGGAATCCCCGGGAAGCTAAGTGAGCAGGTGGACTCCAAGATTCACCACAAACAGAATCCCCTAAAAATAACTTGGATGGAAAATTCAAACTAATACATGACATCCTGTACCTGTCTCTGAGACTTTTCTTAGTCGCCATCCTGTTGTGTGTTTGGTACACCTGGTGGTTTTGATCCTGAGGATGTGGTTTCTTCTTTGCTTCCAACAAGGAGCTTTAAATAGCCTGCAGCCTCCTGTAGGTATGAAAACTAACTGTATCTTAAACTGTCCGTAAGACCATAGCCATTTATTTTAATAGACCTCTTCAAAATGAAGAAGTGGCACATATTTTTAATACTGTATTATCAAATGTGAGTAGCTAGTAAGGCTCTCCCATGTCTTTGTGGAAATCAGGACATCCTGAATCCTGAAGATACCCCCAGGAAAAGCACAAGAACTGCTACTGAGAACAAGGGGAGACCAATTTTGGAATTCCTGCAGTAATGCCTGGCATTTCGTCACATGCCTGCAGTCCCCAAATGAGGGTGGCAGACTCAAAGATCAACGATAGTCCATGGTGAACCTGGACTACATCAGTGAGTTCCTGGCCATCCTGGACTACGAGGGAGGGAGGGAGGGAGGGAAGGAGGGAGGAAGGGAGGGAGGGAGGGAGGGAGAATTTTATGGGCATCACTCAGGTTCTAGAGTTACTTCCCTGATTTCATCTTTTTCAATTAACACATCTTTATCTTCTACTAATTTATGGAAATTAGCATTTTTTCAATCATTTTTATTTTAATACAAGTGAAAGTGTCATCTAAGGTTCTTTGTGATTTCCTGATTTCAGCTTTGACCATGTTAAATAGCTGCTCCATGCTCACTCATTTATGAACACTGGTTTAAGTGGTGACTTTTCCCTTTGATTTGAATCTGCATCCATCACTATAGCCCCAATGCCTAAAGTGTGTGTGTGTGTGTGTGTGTGTGTGTGTGTGTGTGTGTGAATGGATAAGTTGTTGGATATAGTTGCTGGGAAACAGGTTCTGA